AAAACTCTTCCTTCCCGAAAAAAAGGAACTTTTACGTCTAAAACCTTCCAAAAAAATTTCTTAAAAAAAAAAAAAAAAAAAAAAAAAACCCTCAAAATTCAGGAAGATCCCTTTAACATACACATGATGGAGTGAAGTGTGTGGAGTAGTTTTTAACCTGGTTAACTCCTCCCACCACCAGGAGGCGATCTCTGATGACAATGGAAGAAGCGGAGCATCTGGGGAAGTTCATGGGAGCCAAACGTTCCCACTTCTTTTTCTGAGGGTTAAACGCCTCCACCGTGTCCAACGCCGAGGGTTCGTGACCTAAAGGAGAAACATAGAGACAAACGCTTATTAATGCGTCCATATCTGCCAACAAAAACAACAAAAAAACATCTAATTATTATTTATGATTTTGTGCGTAAATTCATGATGGTTATGAGTTTAGGAGAGGATGCTGTAATCCATTTAAACTAGCTTTAAAATGTTCTACTTGAAAATTAAAGTGCAGCATATTTTACTTCAGGCTCTTATTGTGAAGGTTTGGAGGAAGCTGTGTCACAGCTCGTTTGCTGTTTTGACTTTATCCACCTTCCCGAGTCAAATGATGCAATGTGTGAATTCTGCCTGCAATATATATAAACAGGGGTTAAACAGGATATTATCACAGCTCTATGTTTAAGGCTGAACAAATAGACTCTAATTATCAGCTTATTTCTGTTCAATTCAATTTAATAATAAAAAAGGAGACTTTAAAAAAATGTTTCTTCAGTTACTGCGGACTCTGACTCACTCTGTTCCAGTACAGTAGGGTGCAAAAGTCTCCACTCCCTTCCTGTTGTTTTGCATGTTTGTCACACTTTTGTGTTTTAGAACATCAAACCAATTTCAATCTGAGTCAAAGACAACACAAGTAAACACAAAATGCAGTGTCATTAAGATGGAGGGGGTCAAAAATAAAAACCCTGCACTGTTCTGTATGCAAAAACGAATGAACCAGGTTCAATTCCAACATAATTCGATCTGGATTTTAAACTGAAATTGAAACATTCAATGTATTCAATGCACATTTATTGATATTTAATCAATTATTTCTGCATTTATTTCCAGTTTTAACAAATTGACACATCTAAATAATTATGTCAAATTTATTGATTTATGGTAACTCTCCATACAATCATGATTCGGTGATTTTGTTGATAGCTGAGCAGCAGAGTTTCTGTTTCTGTCTTACCGAGTCCACCTGCAACCACCATCCTGCCGCGCAAGAAGGCGGCAGCAAAGTCTGCTCTCTTAGTTTTCAACGCCACGGTCTCCTCGGACTTCAGCCAGGCGCCTGGAATGGAACAAGGAGAGAGAGAGAGAGAACAAAGACAGCTGGAGTGAGCAAACATGCGTGCCTGTGTGTGTGTGTGTGTGTGTGTGTGCGCGCGTGGGTGTGGGTGCGCAAGGTCACACAAAGTAGCCGAGGTGAATTCCTGAGGCAGCGTAGTCCACCTTCAGCCAGACAGGAAGCTGCTGAGTTTTCAGAGTGTGACCTGCACAAACAGGTCACACATGAGGCAGCTGCAGATAGAAGAGGAGTGGACACTCTGTTTCCCACACACACACAAACATATATATATATATATATATTTATATATATATATATATAAAAACACACACCTGTCAAGTACTAAAAAAGGATAGAACAAAAAGGAAAAGGAAGGAAGCAGGTCAAGTCAAAGATGGCCATGTGGTGGTGAAGTTGATGCCTGTTGAGATTCCTGACCACGTCTGGATTATGCTGGAGGAACAACGGCACCGATGGGTTCATGAAGTATAAATCTGACTAAAATTTGACAGAGTTGTAGGCAGCACTGTGCTACAATGTGGGCAGCTTTTCTGTTTCCATAATCTGTGAGCTTTGATTTGGCAGAATTCCCTAAAACAGCAACAAAAGTTTCCTATTCTACTGAATTTAAGAAGAAGCTGTTTGCCTTACAAGACTACAAGTGAGAACCCTGATTGCTTTCATTCATACATTCCACAGCAGACGTGTCAAACTCATTTTTATTTTGGGCCAAATCAAAATCATGAATGTTCTCAAGGGCCAGTTGTGCCAGAATGGATTGATAAGAACCCTTCAACAAACTGGTAAAGTATTAACAGCTGTCTCTACATTGAATAAGCTCTTTTCTTAACATTAAATAATACTGAACATCTTTTCAAACGAGTTCCTTCAAGTTTTTTTTGTGATTGTTTCTGGGATTTTTTTTTTTTTTTTGCAATCAAAATCACAGATCTTGGTGGTGCGAATCCAGAGATATTTGCAAGGAGTTTTGCCACATTTGCACTTACAACTTTTATTACTTGCCATATCAGCAGCAATGTAGCAGAATTAAGAAATACTGCCACCTCCAGGTGGGAGTCAGCAGTCACTGAAAGCCGATGGGTTTAAACATTTTTCCAGATACTTTTCATTAAACTCACAATTATGGATTAGTGTGAAAAAATACAGAGATCTGCTGATTTTTGCGCAAACTTGATCTGATTGTGTAAAACTGGGCGGACTCACTGATGTGATCTGAAGTCTGGAGGGCCTCAGACGTTTCACATGTCAAACTTTTGAGAGTTTGACATGTGATTTACATTCTGCCTTACGTCCACTCCTGGGGACAAAGCTGAGAAAAACAAACGGCTCTCCTGGACTGCTCACCAATATAATACCGTATGCAGCATTGCACTGAGGTATTTCCTCATCCCAAGCCGTACCTTATTCAGAATGTTTTAGATATGCTCTACAACAGGGGTGGCCAAGTCCAGTCCTCGAGAGCCACCATCCTGCAAGTTTTAGAAGTATCCTTACTCCAACAGACCGGGATCAGCTCTACAGAGGCCTGATAACGAGCCAGTCATTTGATTCAGGTGTGTTGAAGCAGGGATGCATCTGAAACTTGCAGGATGGTGGCTCTCGAGGACTGGACTTGGCCACCCCTGCTCTACAAAAAAAATAAATAAATAAAAAAATCACAAACAGGCGAATCTGCTTCTCTAGTAAAACCAGGTACCATCAGAAGCATTAGCAGCGTCCTGGTGCGCCGCCACAGCCCCACTAAAGCCACACTAATGGGAGCAAAGCGCAGGTGCAGTCATAAGCAGGAGTGAAATCTGTTGAACGCTGAAGCAGCTACCAAACGCTAAAATCCCAACATACCTGTAACCCCATTAACAATATTTAACAGAGCCACAGGTGTGGAAGATATTACATCTGATATTTAATCTCCTTAAATCTACATCGTTTAACAATGACAAAACATTTTATTTACAGCCACCTGAAAGGTTCCAGATGATTAAAAAAACCGAATTAAATGAAAATGTTGCCATCAAAATGAAGTTTTCTCCTTTCCCAACAGATCCAGCAGAAAGTTTTTCTTTCTACTTTCAGACTTATAGCTGCTGCCAAATCTTGTTTATCTGAGGGAAAGCCAGGCAGGAGAAAATCGTGACAAGGGAAGACAGATAACTTCATTAAGGATGTAAGGGAGTCAGTGAGAATTAGAATGATGGAGCGATAGAGCAGGAGTGGAAAAAAGAAGATTTTCCTCTTTGTGTGCTTATCTCACTGGTGCTCTTCAGTCCTTGTTTTTCTTCTAACTCCTTTCTGCAGTTCATCCCTCTTTTCTTTTGATTAATTTCTAGTCTACTGCTGAAACAAGCAGCAGGAGAGTAAACAGCAGCAGCAGACAAAGTGTGGAGAGAATGAAAAAAAAAATAAAAAAAGAGAGAGAGCGATAAGAGGCCAGATGGGGAGTCATCCCCAAGTCTTCCAGTCTGGTTCAGTTCTGCCGAGGAGAACCAGGAGAACTCCCAGCTGGCTGTCCAATCCGCTCCTCTCTGGGGAAAAGCTGCTTCTCTTTGTGATGTCATGTGCAATCAGTGGACGCATTTTAATGAAAATCAGCACTTATTATGTGTAGCACTGAAAGGCGCTTTCAGTGAATGTGTCTAATGTCAGCAAACACTGCTTCCACCTTCCGCCTTCGTGATGAGGGCCGATTTGTTGACGTATAGTTTAGTACAAATTGATGCAGCAGGTAAAGTGAGTTTTGAACACATCGACTTTTTTCCAACTGTTCAAATCTTTCTTTGTTTCCTCGTTTTTTGTCCCTTTTCCTGTTCCAGTGTGTCAGCCGTACCACATGGAGAAGCTGGGCAGCTTCTATGACAGAATATCTGGACACGGCATCCTGACGGCGTGAGGTCACCGACGTTTAACTGACACCACATGTCGGAGCGACCCAAATGCACAGACACACCGAAGCAAAAGTACTGCACAAAAAAAAAAAAAAA